AGCGTGCTCCTGCAAGATAAACCCTCACCATGTTTGTGCCTCATAGTCTGAGAATTTGTTGTTTTTGCTGGTTAATTAATTGCAAAACAACTTTAGCTAATGAGTCATATAAAGTAAAGCTGATTTGAGGTGTTAAAAACATTTTCCATATTATTTGTGGTTTATCTAAATATATTAAAATGCGTCGACAGATGCTCTGTGGACCCCAAGTAAGAATTCAAACAGTTCTAAAATAGTTTGACTGCTTACAATGGGTGGCAGCTTTCAGGACAAATTTGGCACTAACCCACCGCAGTGGTTATGGTACTTGCAGAGGTTCTATGGACTTCTCTTTACTCAAAAATAACTTTAAAATACTCAAAAATGTACTTTAAAATAAAAACTAGGGTAATATCAGTTGAAATTTAAGGCTCTTTAGCTAGCTTTAAGGCATGGGTAAGCAATCTCTGGCACTCCATGTGTTGTGAACTACATCTCCCCTGATGCTTTGCCATCATTATAGCTCTATGCATTATTGGTGATATAGCCAACAACATCTGGAGTGCCAAAGGTTGCCTTTCCTTGCTTTAGGGGACTGAAATGTTCCTTTAAAAACCTATATCAGGGATAGGCAACCTTTGGCACTCCAGATGTTGTGGACTACATCCCCCATAATGCTCTTACACCCATAATGCTGGCAAAGCATCATGGGAGGTGTAGTCCAAAACATCTGGAGTACCGAAGGTTGCCTATGCCTGACCTATACAATAGCCAAAGCATAAACTCAAAAATGGTATAGCACAAACACAACAGATTTGTAGATTCTCATGTGAAGCTTAAATTACAAACACTTTAAAGATTTAAAGGTTCCCCCTTAACCCTTGCAACACTAACTATTATTCTATAATTTAAAGGGCAGCTTAAGCACCGTAATCAAAATAACTAATTGCCGTGCATCTTTTGTTTAAGCAATGCCATTTTAATCAAACACATTTAATAAAAAATGTATTCATCACAGTACATATCTCAAAATGTAAGCATGAGCAGTGCGATTCCTGAACACAGAATCCTGCAGAATCGAATAAACACCATGTCAGTCTTCTTGAAGCTATCTACAAACAGATTCAGAGTAAAAAGAATATAGACATCTTAAAGTTGTTGGTATGATCTTGTTGACTTTTCATTTATGTTTAGTGTGAGACTTTATAAAATGCCTTTTTAAGTGCAGGATTTAAAGACTGTGCAAGGAATGAAATGAGAAAAGCAGAAATGCGCTACGTACATTTAATAAAAGCTAGTACTTTGCTGCCACCACGTGGCAAAAGTATATATAGCATCAAACAAACACATACAGACTATAGAGCTTAAAAGACCACTATAGTGCCAGGAAAACATACTTGTTTTCCTGGCACTATAGTGCCCTGAGGGTGCCCCCACCATCAGGGTCCCACTCCCGCCGGGGTCTAGGGGGAGGAAGTGGTTAAACTTACCTCTTTCTCCAGCGCCGGGCAGGGAGCTCTCCTCCTCCTCTCCTCCCTCTTCTTCCGTCACCGGCCAGTCCATAGGTTTATGCTTTCCTATGGACGCTGGCGTCTTCTCACTGTGAAAATCACAGTGAGAAGCGCGGAAGCCCTCTAGCGGCTGTCAATGAGACATCCACTAGAGGCTGGATTAACCCATAGGTAAACATAGCAGTTTCACTGAAACTGCTATGTTAACAGAAAAAAGGGTTAATCCTAGCTGGACCTGGCACCCAGACCACTTCATTAAGCTGAAGTGGTCTGGGTGCCTATAGTGGTCCTTTAACACAGATAGATGAGATGTCCTAAATATCAGCACTATACATGTATAGAAAACATTGGCTTCATTTCCGTTAAACTATTAATATACAAGCTGTGATTTAAGATTAGGATTGCTCTTTTAAATGCAACTGTGCATTGTAAAGCACCACTGTACATCCAGCAAATCTGCCGTAGTACTGATTCGCAGTACACAGTGGTGGTTTGTCCATATTAGGATTTTAAGTATTGTTGCCGGCTATAAATAATGGATTTCAAGCAGGTGTTACACAGTGTTTTGATATTTTCTCTTTTACATCTAAATTTTCCGTCATGCTTGTCCTACAGTTAAGGACACATGACGGTAAATTTCCGTCATTTACTACAGTTAACCCCAGATCGCTGCGATTGCGGGGTTAACGCTCCTCAGGTCTGCCTCGGTATCCGAGGCAGACCGGGAGCACCGAATTGCTCTGTCCCTGCCCACCTGCAGTCAGTGTGAAGTGCAAGGAGACAGTTCAACACTGATCTGCTTCTCCCTGTGTAAAAGAAATAATTAATGTTAAATCCCACCCCCCTTTAAAATAAAAATCATCCCCTTCCCTGCCAATTGATCACTGACTACAGTGGTCAATTGGCAGAGACTACATTTTACTGTGATCTGATTTTTCTTTTTAACCCCTGAGGGTTAATTATTTTTTTTTTTAACCCTCAGGGGTTCAATTTATTTTATTAATTAATTTAAATATTTAAAAATTTTATATTTAGCTAGCTGGGGTGGGTGGAAGTTAGTGGGGAATTGGGGAATTTGGTGTTAGGCTAACTAGGGGTTAACGTTAAAAGCTTTTTAAAAAGCTTTAAAAAGTAAAAAAAAATGTTTTAATAACATTTTTAAAACGTTTTTAAAAATCCCAGCCCCTTTACCCAGTCCTAATAAAAATGAACCCCTTTCCTGCCAGTTGATCACTTCCTACAGTGATCAAAATACAGATCACAGTATTATACTGTGATCTGATTTTTATTTTCGTTTTTCGTTCGGAAGACGTATGAAGTCTCCTGAACGGAAAAAGGATGAAACAAAATCCCCCACACAGCTCCCCCTTAAACTTTAACTTTTTTTTTTTTTTTTAAACTTTAGAGGTTACATTTATTTAATTAATTACTTGATTTAAATATTTTTTAATTATATATTTTGCTAGCTGACGGTGGGTGAGAGTTATGGGACATTGGGGAATTTACAGTTAGTGCTGCTTACTGCTAGTTAGGGGTAAAACAAGTTTTAAGAAAGTTTTAAAAAGTAAAATGAGTTTAAAAGAGTAGAAAAATACATTAAAAAAATGCTCATTACCTATTAGCCTGTTATTTTCATGATCATACAAAAATGTGCTGATCAAACTGCCACACTTGGAAATGTCTTGAAACTGCTTGTAGACGCTGTTATGGCTCTGCACGCTTGTTGTCATCACATGCACAATAAAAAATAAGAATTGAAAAAAAAAATGCTCATTACCACTACACTGGGAACAAACTAGCGAAAAAATTATCTCACGCTAAGGTTCAAAATATGCCTTTTGAAATACCCCAGGGTGTATTCTTTAAAAAATGGTATTCGTTTGTAGGGTAGTTTGAATAACAAACCAGCTAAACTACTCCAAAATGGAACATGGACACAGCATAAAACTTCAAAGTTAGAAAAAAACTGAATGGCTGTGTCTCAAATGTGCCCCTTCAAAATCCACATATACCTGGCAAAGGTACATACAGGGGTATTCCTATACTCCGACGGCATAGCTAAGCAACATATGAAGTGTTATGCTGCCATAGCACAAATAAGGTTTGCAAAATGTACAGTAGTAGCTCACTGTTTGGGTCAAAAATGCAGAACAAAATCTTATTACCACTTCACTTTGTACAAAATAGCGAAAAAATGGTCCCACGTTAAGGTTCAAAATATGCCTTTTGAATTACCCCAGGGTAATTCTTTAATAAATAGTATGTGTTTGTGGGGTAGTTTGAATAACCAACCAGCTAAACTACTCCAAAATGGAACATAAACACAGTGTAAAACTTCAAAGTTAGAAAAAAACTGAATGGCTGCGTCTCAAATGTGCCCCTTCACCATCCACATATTCCTGGCAAAGGTACATACAGGGGTATTTTTGTGCTCAGACAACATATGAAATATTATACAGCTGTAGCACACATAAGATTTGCAAAATATACTGTGCAAACTCACTTTGTGTGTCAAACAGGCAGAACAAAAATTGCTTATTACCACTACACATAGTACAAGCTAGCTGAAAAATTATCCCATGCCAAGATTCAAATCATGCCTTTTGAAATACCCTAGAAGTCTTCTTTAGGAAATAGTATGCCTTTATGGGGTAGTTGGAATATATAACCTGCTAAAATACTCCACAATGGGACTTGGACATAGCGTAAAAATTCAAAGTTTGAAAAAAAATGGAATGGCTGTGTCTCAAATGTGCCCCTCCAATATCCACATATACCTGGCAAAGGTACATACGGGGGTATTGCTGTACTCAGACGACATAGCCGATCAACATATGAAGTATTATACAGCTGTAGCACACATAAGGTTTGCAAAATATACGGTGCAAATTCACTTTGTGTGTCAAAAAGGCAGGAAAATGCTTATTACCACTACACTTGGTACAAGCCAGAGGAGAAATTATACCACACTAAGGTTCAAAATATGCCTTTTGAAATACCCTTGGATGTCTTCTTTAAGAAATGGTATGTCTTTATGGTGTACAGGGCTCGAGTCCTGCAGGAACGCATGGGAACGGCGTTCCTGCACTTTTTCCAAAGCAGGAACGCCGTTCCCATTACCTGTCCTGCAGGACCGGCCCTGCTCCCTGCACAGAGAGGCCATCACACGCTGTGTTCCCTCTCCAGCTATAACTCTCGCGAGACCCGCGGCTGTTACCATGGCAACGCTCCGCACAGGCGAGTCTCGCGAGAGTTAGAGCTGGAGAGGGAACACAGCGTGTGATGGCCCCTCTGTGCAGCAGCTGGCTCCCTCCAGCATACCACCGGACCACCAGGCGATCTCCCCCCTCCCTGACAAGGTAAGAAGCAGGGAGGGGGGAATAAAATAAAAAAAATATATACATACACATAAAGTTAAAAAAAATGTCCCCCCCCATCATCCAGCACTCACACACCCGTCATCCAGCACACACACACCCATCATCCAGCACACACACACCCATCATCCAGCACACACACACCCATCATCCAGCACTCACACACACCCATCATCCAGCACTCACTCACACACCCATCATCCAGCACACACACACCCATCATCCAGCACTCACACACACCCATCATCCAGCACACACACACCCATCATCCAGCACTCACACACACATCATCCAGCACTCTCACACACATCATCCAGCACTCACACACACACATCATCCAGCACTCTCACACACATCATCCAGCACTCACACACACATCATCCAGCACTCACACACCCATCATCCAGCACTCTCACACACATCATCCAGCACTCTCACACACATCATCCAGCACTCACACACACATCATCCAGCACTCACACACACACATCATCCAGCACTCACACACGCACGCACGTCGTCCAGCACTCACGCACGCACGTCGTCCAGCACTCACGCACGCACGTCGTCCAGCACTCACGCACGCACGTCGTCCAGCACTCGCATGCACGTCGTCCAGCACTCGCACACTCTTCACTCACTACAAACACACTGCATTCACTATACACCCTCTGCATTCACTATACACCCTCTGCATTCACTATAAACATTCTGCACGCACTACATTCACTATACACACTCTGCATTCACTACAAACACACTACATACACTGCATTCATTGTACACACTGCACTCACTACAAACACACTAAATTCATTATACACAGTGCACTCACTACAAACACACTAAATTCATTATACACACTCTGCACTCACTACAAACACACTAAATTCACTATACACACTCTGCACTCACTACAAACACACTAAATTCACTATACACACTCTGCACTCACTACATTCACTATACACACTCTGCACTCACTACAAACACACTAAATTCATTATACACACTCTGCACTCACTACAAACACACTAAATTCACTATACACACTCTGCACTCACTACATTCACTATACACACTCTGCACTCACTACAAAAACACTACATTTATTATACACAGTGCACTCACTACAAATACACTGCATTCATTATACACACTCTGCACTCACTACAAACACACTACATTCATTATACACACCCTGCACTGCACTATATGCATAGGAGTGTAATTTTTTTTTTTTTAAGGGGGGGGGGGAGGCGGGACTCTTGGGTGAGTTCCCACACTTTTTTCCCCAGGACTTGACCCCTGATAAAAGCCCTAGGTGAATGGGCCAGCTGAATGGCCCCCAGAGTGTTGTGGGGATATTTATGGGATGATAATTTGAAGCAGTCGAGAATTGCCCACTATTTCAATTCTCTTAGATCTTAGAGATCGTTTATCATGTAAGTGAAAAGTATTCCATCAATAATTCACAATTTGTTATAAAAATAGATTTATTTTTATTGTAACAAATTAATTAACAATATTATTAGGCAACATGCATGATAATAATCAGTGAATATTTAGTATAACATAGTATGCAATACAATGGAATGGCTATACACGTTCCAACGGCTAAACAGCATTTTCTGTCAAGACTTACACGATTTATGAAGGTATCCTTACAGACAAAAAGTAAAGCTTTTCACAGCGAAGAGCCATAAAACCCTGGCTAACAGTTAGATCAACTGAATAACCCTTTCAATGCTGGCTAGATCCTCCTAGGCATATAGTATCCTATTCTCCTGTGATTTCAATTAAATACATTTAAACCAACTCATGAATCATTTCCTGTAACCATCCAATAAGAATAATCTACCAAATTCTATAAACCGAATTTTAATTTGCCTAAAAATATATCTTATCTTAATTTAGAGCAAATCAATACACCTGGATAAAAACAGTGGTATGCTAACACGTGATAATATCACATTAATCTATAATTATTCCACCTGCAGAATGGAATGTTTATAACTATATATTCTTTAGTTAACTAAGATTTCTTAAATATGGAAATCTGACCGTGATTTATGCAGTCATATATCATGCTATTAGTAAATTTTAATTAATTTTAATTAATTAAATAAAACCAGCATAATTACCAGTTATGTAGATATTCTCATCAGATGAGTAGGTAGTCCCAGAGACTTGATTGGTTGTATGTAGGTGCATGAGTTATAGTGAAAGGTGGTGTTGGTTAGAAAGTCAGTAAAATTCTAAGTGTTACAGTTTTAAGAGTAGAGTGTTAGTCCCAGAGATTGTCTTGGATTTTATTAAGACACGGAGGCTCCTATTATGCTGCACTCTTTCTTTATTTACCTCAGCAGCAAAGAAAAATAACATTAAATCAGTATAAAAGAAACCAGTAAATAACATGAGGTATATCTTCATAGCAACAGGAACAGCCAATCAGCATCCTCTTTATAGCATAATAGGCAGTGTCCAGTATACTACTTCCTCTTTCTTTGCTGCTACCTCAGTTAAGTGACACTGGGTCCCATGGTTCTTAACTGTGGGATCTTTTACTTTACTTTATTCATATCATTACTGTGCTTAATATAGTTATTATAGTTATTACATTTTAATCATAATATTTTCATGTTTATACATATATTTAGTTACTTCATTTTAACGTAATTTGATTTATTTACTTCATTTGCGTCTGTTATATGCTTTATTATATATCCTTTGATAATTTCTTTACCCTCTGACCTCCCTGGCCCCAAGATTACCATCAATTGGGGCTCAGGGGTGTCTTTGAGGATCTTTATATCCTGAATAGTGCCATTGTGCTGTTTTTTCCCTTAATTTATCTGTCTGGCTGCTGCTCTGCCACCAACTTCCAGAAATCCAAGTTGGGGTTTAGTTGTAGTGGCAGCCGGGCAGCTCCTTTGTTTTTATATTACAATTGCTATTTTTTTTTTCACTATTGTGAGTACTTTCATTTCTTTATCCTGTTTAGTTATTTATTTATTTACTTGAGGGTTACTCAACCCTTTACTTTTGGTATTATTTTGCTTTATTCAGCCCCTTAGGTTTGTTTGTATATTTATGATGCAGTCTGACAGGATCTTTCTGTGCCTTCTGGGTCTACAGCAAACATGCAGATTAATGTAGAAGCCTCTCCAGGTATCTCTGGAGATGAGGCTGAATTTCTGCTTTACTGATCCTGCTGACATGCAGGCTTTAATTGACACTTCCATGGCAAAAGCAATGACAAGGCCCTGGTGTCAGGCCACAAGGCCTCATATAAGGCTAAACACTCCTCCAAAACAATAGAGATGGACAGTACCATACCTGTCACGGATGGCGCGATTAATTTACCACCGCGCAAAAGAGCCACTAGTCGGGCAAAATCGACTAGACTTTGGAAAAGGGCAAAAGCCCAATTAAACTCTGAATCCGAGCTCAGTCATATTGAGGAGAAGTTCCCCGAGTTCTATATGGAGGTATACCTGTACTCACACCTGCACTGCTTCAGCCTGGCCGCAAGGCCTCATATAAGGCTAAACACTCCTCCAAAACAATAGAGATGGACAGTACCAAACCTGTCACGGATGGCGTGATTAATTTACCACCGCGCAAAAGAGCTAATAGTCGGGCAAAATCGACTAGACTTTGAAAAAGGGCAAAAGCCCAATTGAACTCTAAATCTGAGCTCAGGGATATTGAGGAGGAGTTTCCTGAGTACTATATGGAGGTGTATCTGTACTCACACCTGCTCTGCTTCAGCCTGGCCGCAAGGCCTCATATAAGGCTAAACACTCCTCCAAAACAATAGAGATGGACAGTTCCATACCTGTCACGGATGGCGCGATTAATTTACCACCGCGCAAAAGAGCTACTAGGCGGGCAAAATCGACTAGACTGGAAAAGGGCAAAAGCCCAACTGAACTCTGAATCTGAGCTCAGTGATATTGAGGAGGAGTTCCCTGGGTCCTATATGAAGGGTTTAGAGGATATTTCTGATCCTGAAATTACTGATGAAGAGGATGCTAATCCCGTTTGGGATACACGTCCTGTTAAACCTACCAAGATTTAGGTAGATTATGCGGACTCAGGGACACCGATAGGATCTTGGACACTCAATGTGAACCCCTATTCGAACCTGACGACCTATGTCACCCAGTGGTCTCCTCAGACCATGTAGCCAAGTATATTGGCATCCAGAGTACGCAAGCCTTTTGAGAAGGCAAAGTGAAATAAATTGCGGGCTGAATGGCCACACCGAACAGTCCCTGATGACTCATGTTAAACGCGATCAGTCAATCCTAAAATCATTCAATTCCTGAGTAAGACAGGATGGAATCCATCTAAAGGCTTAGATTTTCATTGCAAAACTGTCAGGATAAAATTCTGGGCATCTTGGGCTCAGCAGCCAAGATCTTTGAAGCAGTGGAGGATGATCTAGAATTAGATTGCGCCATCTTAAGTGGTTAGATCCAGAGAGTGATTTTAAGTTGGCAACGCCAACAATGCGGTTGTCACAGAACACCACAAATCGATCTTGCTCAAGATTGAGCCCAAACGAGCCAGATAACACAGGCAAAAGGTTTTCTCTTTGGGGACAACTTTGTAAAAGAATTGGGCTCCTTTGTCCTGCTAAACAAACAGAAGTTCAGAAGACAGAACCAAGGCTCTTGTACTTGCCGAGCCGATTTCTTTGAACAATGTACTATACCAACCTCCTTCTCACAAAGTGGCCGACCCTGGATTGTTAGTGGCCTAAGAGGTGCTCCTAAGACGTCTTCACAATTTCCATTCTTTCTTACTGATAGTGGGGGGCAGGCTCACACATTTTTCCCATGTATGATTCCTCATTTCATCAGATGCTTAGGTTCTTCACACTGTGAAAGGGTATTGCATAGACTTCCTTTCTCTACTTGTTCAATGTTCCCCATCAAGGGAAATTGTTTTTTTCCCAATGAGACACAGACCTTGTCTCTGTGGACAATCAATTGTAGAGATTCTGGCGCATACCCTGGGTTACGTGAGCAACCTTTTCTTGTTTCCCAAAAAAGGCAAAGGTATCCGTCCAGTGATAAATTTGAGACTGCTCAATAGTTATGAGCATATCAGCACTTCCAAGATGGAAGGAGAGCATTGTTTAAGGGATCTTCTCCAACCAGCAGATTGGATGGCCAAATTGGATCTGCAGGATGCATATCTCACAGTGCCTATCCCAGTACAACATCAAGATCGAGAACTTCCTGCAATTTACATGGTAGGGCAGTAAATAGAGGTTCAGGTGCCTCCCATTCGGACTGTCTTCGGCTCCATGGTGCTTCACCAAGCTCACATCTTATAATATATTTAGATGGCATTTTCATTCTGGCTCAGTCTATTCAATTAATCCGGACATACCTTGCATGGACTTTGACTCTGTTAGAGAACCTAGGCTTCCTGACCAATTGGGAGAAATCCATTATCGTTCCCACACAACAAATACAATTTCTGGGTTATATTGGATTATTGTAGATTCTACCCTTCAAACTCTACACCCTCCGGTGGCAAAATTAGCCAATATAAAGAAGGAGATAGGCAACCACTAGCAACCTCTCAACTCTCTCTCAAACAACTGTTGAGAATGTTAGGCCTTCTAGCGGCATCTATACAGGCCATTTCTACAGGTGTTCTTGGCTATCGAGCCCTACAACGATTACAAACTTCATCTCAAGGGCAGCACATCATACACAGATATGGTAACTCTGGACTCAGAAGCGGAGAATGAACGCCAATGGTGGCTTCTTCACATGGAAGCTTGGAATAAGCACACCATATTTTGTACAGCTCCAGATTTGATACTCAAATCCGACGCAAGTTTGCACGGTTGGGGTGCTCAATGCAGAACTATTTCCACCAAGGGCAGATAATCAAACCTGGAATCAACACTCAACATCAATTGTTTGGAACACCCGGTTCCTTTGCAGTCCATAGTTTCTCCCCAACTCAAGCCCAATGCGCTATCCTTCTGAAGATGGACAACGTGTCAGCAGTCCGCTACATCAATCACTTGGAGGCACAAAATACAAAATTCTGACCTACATGCCTCATGATTGCTGGCAATTTTGCCTGAGACACGGCATTTCAGTCACGGCAGAATATATTCAAGGTCTCTCCAACACTACGACGTACTTGTATTCACGCCAACTCTGGAACCTATGGGGTCTATTGGAAATAGATCTTTTCGCTTCTCGTTTGAATGCTCAACTTCCCTGTTTTTTCAGTTGGAGACCAGATCCGATAGCATTGGCTATGAATGTTTTCTCCAAGGAATTATGATTTTTTTGCCTTTCCATCTACATCGCCAGTCCGGCACCTGTTGATCGTGGCTCCTCTATCGCCATCCCAACCATAGTTCTCTTTTCTTCAGGAGATGGTTATCGACCTTCCATCTCTCGAGTGCCTTCTTCAGGATCCAGATGGTGTACCTCATCCTCTTGTTCTCCAAGGTCTCTTGCATCTCATAGTGTAGTCTATTTCAGGGAACCTTGGTCGGTCAAGGGAGTTTCGCAATCAACTCCCCAACTTATCAAGGGTGCACCCAACACGAGACAGGCTTATAAATCTGCTTGGAGCAGATGGCATAGTTGGTGCATGAAAATAAATTTAAATCCCATATCAGCTCCTTTTATGTCTGTCCTCCATTTTTTTTCTGACTTCTATGATGAAGGTAAAGCCTATCGCACTGTGGACCTTACCGATCGTCCATTTCTGCTGGCCATCAAAGTTTTGATTGGACGCCTGTCGGTTGACATCCTGTCATATATTGACTTCTCTGAGGAATATGGTTTGCTCATTCACCCTTACCACGATACTCTGTCTTGTGGGACGTCTCTATTGTCTTGAATTTTTTTTTTTTTTTCTTGCAAGAGGTTTTTCTGACGTACGAGCTCGTGAGGTGGTTGCTCGTTCCTTTACTCCAGAAGGTGTCCTCTTTGACATTTCACGGAGGACAAAAACCTCCTCTAAAATCTATCTTACCCAGTTTTCCCTGATAGATCTCTCCTTTGCCCTGTTGCATACTAATGGGTGTGTGAACATCGTTCTACTACGTTACAGAATCCTTTGAAACAGGAACTCTTCCAAAAGTCGCATCTTCCGGTGTCTACTCTAGCCTGGTGGGTCAAATACGTTATGTCTCTAGCAGGTATTGATACCTATGTGTCAGTGCCTCATTCGGTTCGTAGAGCAATGGCTTCTAAGGCTTCTTCGATTGGTTGTCGCTTGGAGGATATTATGAGAGCGGCTGGTCTTCGGAGCCTACATTCCATGATTTCTACTTTAGACCTATTCAACACTTCACAGGAGACATCATTTCACAGCTTTGAACTAGCATAATAGGAGCCTCCGTGTCTTAATAAAATTTACAGATTTTACTATTAACATGACGTAAAGTCATGATTTTATTAATGACACGGAGGCGAGTATTATCCCTCCCTCCCATCCCTGGAGATTTGGTCTTCTCTGGGTAAGTTGACTTCACAGTAAGTCTTTTTTGATTACTAGGTTTTATCCTTGTTAATGACTGTCAAGAGCTTAAGGTTTGACTAAACTGAATTTCATGTTATGTGTATATATATATCTGATATTTCATGTAATGCGAATTTATGCATAAATTCAGTTTTATACTTGGATATTACCATATTCTCTTTTCTCTTCCAGCTTGACTTCTAGATCCAGTTTAAGGCTCGTATACCCTCTAATTGGAGCCCACTTTTTATTTGGATTTGTTGTCCTTGTTCGGGATCGCAAGAAAGAGGAAGTAGTATACTGGACACTGCCTATTATGCTATAAAGAGGATGCTGATTGGCTGTTCCTGTTGCTATGAAGATATACCTCATGTTATTTACTGGTTTCTTTTATACTGATTTAATGTTATTTTTCTTTGCTGCTGAGGTAAATAAAGAAAGAGTGCAGCATAATACTCGCCTCCGTGTCATTAATAAAATCATGACTTTACGTCATGTTAATAGTAAAATCTGTAAATTTCTCTGCATGTCCGAATTGGATGCCCAAACTTCAATTCATCTCTCTGTCTCCAACTCCAACTCCAACTACCCTCTCTCTCCCCTTTGTCTTTACTTTTAAAGGGCCAGACATTCTGTACGTCATTAGTTGATAAACCAATAGGAAGCCGTAGGTGTGTCCAATTGATGGATCGCAATTTAGGTATTTGATCCATAGATGGCAGTCTCGTCTAACAAAACCTTCCTATCCAGGAAAGAGTTAACTTTTCCTGATGACAATTTTGACGTAATTTGGCTTATCTAAAATGACTACCATAACTTAGATTTGCTGTCAGTTCAAAGCGTTTGTGCCAGTCTTTGTGGCATCTACTTTGGTCGTAACTTGTAAAATTGACAGTTCTAAACTCAATTTCACCCCTTTCTTACAATGGTACCTTGTAACATTTAGAAAGTAAAATTAATTACTTAGTCTTCTCTGTCACTAATGTTTGTGTTTAGATAATTGCATCTATTCCATTAACATTTTAGACAGAGCATCCTCCTTGCTTCATTGCTTATCTTGGTTTGTTTATATAATACATTCCTCAGCTCAAGCAAGTGGCTAGTTACAGAAGTAAGAAGAAATCAAGGAAATTATGTGTTTTTGTTATCCTGAAGATAGCAAAATGGAGTCCGCTTTGTTCTGAGTGACTTGGGCAATATACACTTTTAATTTCTTTTTAGCACAAAATGTCTGTTGATATAAATATTCTGACAGTGTGTAAGCCCTGATGTACCGGCGGTAGTTTGCCACTGCTCAAATTTCACTTTTAATGTCTCTTTTGTTCATCATGCATTCCATTTGAAATCTTTCCAATATGTTTGATAATGGGTAAAAATAAAACCCAGGAGATATGACTATCAAACATGAGGTAAGTGAAAATGTACAATAATGTACTGCACTTTGAATGGTCACTTTGTTAAGGTCAGTAAAAAAAAACAGAACAAATTCTAAACGAAGTTTCTGATGTCCATATCATTCAGTGTATGCTCTGCAGGTGGAAATTATAGGGAAATGTTTCCAACTGTATATGTCCAGATAATTGTAGTGATGGACTTACATTGATGGTTAACTGGTTATATGATGAGTTTGGAGGCATACAATCCTTTTAGAATTAAGGTGGTATCATTATTATTGTTTTGCTCCTACCTATACTTCTAACACTATTTTATTACTTATCTTACACATTCCGCAAAATAATTACCAGATTTTACTAATTTCATGACGTAAAGTCATGATTTTATTAAGGACACGGAGGCGAGTATTATGCTATTCTCTTTCTTTTTATTCCTCAGCAGCAAGAAAAATTTATTTTAGAGAAACAATCAACCATGTAAACATGCCCCAAAGGGCTAGTCCTACAATAATACAACCAATCAGCATGCCTTCAGCACTCTCAACTCCCCATGTGACCTTAAGCCACTCCTCTTTCTTGGTGTTGTCGACAAAAAAATCCATAGTAACACATCAACGTGAAGGAAAAAAAGCAAAATGCCAGGACCGCCACAGTGAAAAATCCAGTATTCTCCAGAAGCTGTGATCTTCCCGTAGGTCCTGAAGGAAATCCATGCACAACGGTGCCAAACCGGATCATGAAGCTGAAAGGAACAGAGAAACAAACTGGTAAAATATGTTTCTGGACCTTTGAACAGAATTAGACATCGGAATATATGCCACCAAAACCAGATTATCCTCTAACCAAAACCTGTCAATACATGCAGTGTGTTGTAGTAATCTGAACCCGTAACAACTTACTGACCACTTAGCTATGGGAGGGTACCACTTACCTGCATTGGGTGGGATAATACTCGCCTCCGTGTCCTTAATAAAATCATGACTTTACGTCATGAAATTAGTAAAATCTGGTAATTTTATTTAAGGACACGGAGGCTCATATTATGCTAGTTCAAAGCTGTGACACGACCACCTCTGAAAAATGAGAAACTGGCCGAAAATAAAACTCCTTGAAGGTAGATTCGCGGGACCAATCAGCCGCCCGGAGTAGGTCCTCCAACCTGCATCCTTTGGAGAATGCTTTAGTCGCCATGGCTCCCCTGACCGAGTGTGCTCCATACACAGAAGTGTCGATGCCTGCTAATTTCATAACCCACTTGACCCAACGAGACAAGGTGACTGTTGAAACAGGGTGATATGGATGACGAAGGGCTAGGAATAACTCAGGATATGCAGGATCACGAATCGAAGAAGTCTTGGACTCGTATTCCTTGAGACATGCTACTGGGCATAGCTTAGAGTTATTTGGAAAGGCCGGGTAGAAAACTGAGGTGATTGACGTCTTCGTACGCCTGGAAATATTAAACTAGACACCTTCGGGGGTGAATGAACGTGCAGAGAAGTCCAACGTACGCACATCCGACACCCGCTTACAGGAGATCAAAGAAAACAGCATCGCCAGCTTTGCTGTGAGTTGTTTCAGTGAGAGATCTTCGTTCCTTGGCCAATCTGCTAGAAGCTGGAGGACAAGGTCAACATCCCATGATGAAGAGTATCTAGGTTGTGGTGGGTGTGCAAATCTAATGCCGCGCAGGAGTCGGCATACGAGGAGATGTTTACCTGCCGGGGCACCATCCAACCCTTGGTGGCCTGCGGAAATAGCCGATCGGTACACATTTATCGTGCGATAGGCTAGGCCATGGTCAAACAGAGAAGTGAGAAATCTCAAAACTTGACTTATAGGTGCCGATAAGGGATCCATGTGTTGTTCCATGCACCAACCACTCCATGAATTCCAGGCATGTAAGTAGGATTTCCTTGTTCCCGGAGCCCAAGCTCCCGCCAGAAGGTCAATAGTTGTTTGTGGAACGTCCGGGATGAATCCAAGTCCCCGGAGAGGAGCCATGCCAGTAGTTGGAGGCGTCCCTGTAATAGTAGGGGGTGCGGTTCCCCGTTGGGGTCCAACAAGAGGTCCGGAGAGGTTGGAATCAGTCTTGGGTAGTCCATGGACATCTCCATGAGTGTAGGGAACCATGGTTGAGCCGTCCAGAATGGGGCGATGAGAATCATGGAGGTTCGGTAGCGCCTGAGATGTAGAAGCGTCCTTGCAATCAATGAGAAAGGAGGAAAAGCGTACGCTCGTGTGTCCGGCCACTGTTGGAGGAAGGCATCTGAAGCCAATGCCTCTGGATCCGGTCTCCAACTGAAGAAACTCGGTAGTTGGGAGTTCAACCGTGAAGCGAAGAGGTCGATCCCTAGTGGGCCCCAGAGTGTTTGGAGTTGCAGGAAAATGGCCCGCTTCAGCCGCCAGTCGCTTGCATCCCGTAGGTATCTGGAATTCCAATCCGCCACCATATTGGACATCCCGGGAATGTGTTCCGCCTGAACCGAAATATTGCGATCCAGGCAGAAGTGCCAGAAGTCTTTTGCTAGATCCGCTAACACCACTGACTTCGTACCCCCGAGATGATTGATGTAGCGGACCGCTGACACGTTGTCCATCCGTAAAAGAATGGAACAGTTGGTTGAGATACCTACGAGACTCCGAACTGCAAATGACCCTGCCAAAAGCTCGAGGCAATTGATGTGTAACTCCTGTTCGTCTGGGGACCATTTCCCTCCGGTGGAGATAGGACCACAACGCGCGCCCCAGCCCAGCAGACTTGCGTCCGATTCCACGACGAAGTCCGGCCTCGTCCCAAAGATTGCTCTTCCGTTCCATGCTTCCATGTGCTGCAGCCACCAAGAGAGTTCTTCTTTGGCAGCACAATCGAGAGGTACAGAGTCTGAATAGGAGAGACCTGACCGAAGGTATTTTGCCTTTAGGCGTTGAAGGGCCCTGTAGTGAAGTGGGCCCGGGAAAATGGCCTGGATGGAGGCCGAGAGAAGGCCGATGATCCTGGCCAGTTGCCGTAGCGTTAGTGCAGGGCGAGCCAGTGTCCGGCGGATTTCTTTCTTGATGATCCTGACTTTGGACGATGGTAACAGGAGTGTCCCTTCCACTGAATCGATGGTGAAGCCTAGAAACTCCAAGACTTGGGAGGGTTGTACCACCGACTTGCCCCAGTTGATGAGGAAACCAAGGTTGCCGAGTAATGTCTTTGTCCAAATCAGATGTTCTTGGAGTAAGAGTGGGTCTTGTGCCATCAGAAGCATGTCGTCCAAGTATATAATCAGACGTACTCCTCTGCTGCGTAGGAGAGCGACCACTGGCCGCATGAGCTTCGTGAAGCACCATGGGGCCGAGGAGAGGCCGAAGGGCAAGCATTTCAAACGCCATGTGGTCTCCTCCCATTGGAACTGGAGGAAATGTTGGCAATCCTCGGCCATTGGGACGGTGAGGTATGCGTCCTGCAGATCGAGTTTGACCATCCAATCCTCCAAGAGGAGCAGGTCTCGGAGGGAGTGGATGCCCTCCATTTTAAAATGGTGGTACGCTACAAAGGCGTTCAGGGGACGTAAGTTGATGACCGGACGGACACCCCCGCCTTTCTTGGGCACCACGAACAGGTTGCTTAGAAAACCTGAAACCCCTGGATGCGTCTCTATGATTGCACCTTTGTCGGCCAGGGATTGTATCTCCACTGTGATTAATGCCTTGTCGTGGATGGAGGAGACTATGTGTCTGGGGAGGGATATCTGGACAGGTGTTTGTACAAATTCTATGGCATAACCCACTACAGTTTGAAGGACCCAAGTATCGGAAGTTAACATTCGCCAGGCATCGATAAAGTGGCCTAACCTGCCCCCCACCAACGTTACTGAAGTTAGTGATGAAGGAAGTGGACTTACCATAAGGGCGTCGGCCATAGGAAACGCTTCTGGATCCACGAGCCTGCCAGGGTCTTCCTCGAACTGGGAAGAATGGAGAGGGCTTGGGTACCTCACTCTGGTAACGTGAAGGGGCCTCTAGAAACCCGGTACGAGCCCCGGGAAGAACGGCCGGGCAGACGGCCCCGATATCTGCCGGCCCCGCCAAAAACTCTATGGGAGAATACCTTTTTCATATTGGCTTGCGCCTTGTCCAGAGCAGTAAATGTGCCCACATAGGTACCCAGATCCTTCACAAAACTATCCCCAAAAAGAAGGCCTTTGGTCTGTGGCCCAGGCTCAGTGATAGCCAAGGCAACTAGCTTTGGTTCGATTTTAATCAATATAGCCTTTCGCCTCTCAGTGGCTAGAGCCACGTTGGCATTTCCAAGAAGACATATGGCTCTCTGTATCCAGCCCCTGATAGCTAGCAGGTCTATGGGAGCACCACCTGCCAGTGCCGTTTCAACCATATCAAAGATCTTTGCACTGGGTCCGAGGACATCCAGGACCTTATCCTGGCAATGGCGAAGTGCGAAGTCGAGACCCTTCTTCGCCTTCCACCCAGTTTTTCCCAGGAACTGGGCAATCTTAGGGTCCACTATAGGGGCGATACATATTAAATCTGGGAGCGTGGGGCGTGGGCATTCTGCCCGCATCTTACTTCTTGCCACCTTATCAAGGGGTTTCCTGATCCGTGCGGCAATATATTTTGCCACATGGTCCAGCGGGAACCATTCAGTTGATCTTGGGTGCTGCAGACTATCAGGGTCAAACAAAGGTTCGCCCTGTGGGTCAAGGAGGGTGAAGCCTTCCACCCCGTCCTCGTCCTCATTCCCAGACATAGATATAGCGCTGTGGTCAGGGAATAGTGTGCCCAAATTGAATGAGTCCTCATCATCAGACTCGCACCATGCCTCCTCCTGTTCCGAATCTGACTTGGATGATTCCACTTGGGCTTTTGCCCTTTTCCAACTCCGCACCGATTTTGCCCGGTGGGTGGCTCTTTGTTGTGGTGCAACCACATTATCTTTGACGGGACGTTCCCTGTCTGTCCTTAAAGTTTTGGAGACTTCCTCGTCCATGTGACGAGATTTTTTGGTGGCTTTGCGCCCACTGGCCTTGCCTGTAATGTGTTCTGTAGGGTTAGGAGCAATGTGCGTAGATGCCTGTTAGGCGGCAAAGAGGGCATGGCTAATAGAGTGGGACAGAGTGTCCGACATACCTCCCATGGCTGAGTAAACAGCTTGGGTTACGGATTTCGTCATAGTGGCATCCAGGAGAGAATGAAGCTCTTCCGAGTTCAATTGCTCCTGGTCTGTCACATCAGTGACAGTTAAGCCAGCCGGTCTGGGGACAACCTGGGGGGCAGGGGGTATATTATCCCTAATGGGAGAATCGCTGGAGGCCATGCCCAAATCCTTACTAGATTGCATAACGAAATAACACTTCTGACAGTGGTTGTGGTTAGGTACAAGAATATATTATTTATAAGTAAACCAAGAAAAAAAAAGGGGGGTGGAGTGGGGGAAACCCAAATAAACTAATGGAGTGACTTCCCTGATATTAGGCAAAACTGGGTATTAGCAATGTATCAGCAGTAATGATACAGAATACCCAAGGCACCAGAAAGTACAGACAGTAATATGAAAAAGGCAAGCTCACCAAGTGTTCCCTCAGGAATGGCTCCTGGGGACACTGGTGAGCTGCCCAGCAACTGTGCTGTCCAATCAGCACACACTCCCGCCCCCACAGGCACTAAAAAGCCCGGGAACGAAAAAAACCGCGGCAAACTGCCAACCGCAAGATGCCCGCCGCGATGCGCACTAGCGGTTACAGCCGCGAACTGGAGGGGGGGGGGAGGGAGGCCCCCGAGACAGATCTCAGAGGCACGAAAAAAAAACAGACTGGGCGGCAAGAGCCTCCACACGGAGAGCTGCTAGCCGCCCTGACTCAGTAGGTGATAATCCACCTGAAGTGAGTCAGAGATGGGAGGGGAGGGAGGGGTTGGCTCTAGGTGAGGGAAAAAACCTAGAGCCAGTTGGGAAATTAAGTGGAGAGATAGGGCAGAAGCCCAACAGTACACAGAAAACAAACAAATTTAAATGAAACTGCCACAAAATGAATAAATATGATAAACACACAGGCAGCATACAGAGAGAAAATAAAAATGTACTTAGCTGAGGAAGGCAGCAGCAAGAAAGAGGAGTGGCTTAAGGTCACATGGGGAGTTGAGAGTGCTGAAGGCATGCTGATTGGTTGTATTATTGTAGGACTAGCCCTTTGGGGCATGTTTACATGGTTGATTGTTTCTCTAAAATAAATTTTTCTTGCTGCTGAGGAATAAAAAGAAAGAGAATAGCATAATATGAGCCTCCGTGTCCTTAAATAAAATTCACATCTATATGCTAAAAGGAAGTTAAAAAAATTGAAAAGCTGGAACCCTTGGTATACCTTTTGAACAGATCGATTGACGGATGGACTAGAAGGGAGCAAAAACTGATCCACAAAATTACTCTAGTAGCAAGGAGAGAAATAGCATATACCTGGTTAAAACCAGACGTGTCACGCACAGCGAATGTCATAACGAGAATTAGGGAAGTGCGCCTGATGGACGATTTGACTGCTATGGTAAGAGGGTACACTGGAACATTTCAGAAACTGTGGGAGCCGTGGGATGATAGCCCACTGAGCTCTTAGGGAGCGGGGGTTGTCTCCGCGTGGGTGCCGCCGTCCCCCTCCCCTCTCCCTCTCCCCTGTCCCCCTGCCTTCTCTCTGTGTCCTGGGCTCTCCTCCGCGCGCCACGCCGACCCGCTTTCTTCTTCTTCTATTTTTCTACCTCTTTCTTCTTCCATTCTTTCCACTGAACTGTTTCTATACCTTCCTTTTTCATACGCCACAGCCATGTTTTATACAGGGCAAGTGGCGTAAGGCCTACAGGTACCGATGACATGGCATAATCTCTAAGAGTAAGAACTGAATATGATATGCTCATGAGTCATGACACCGCCTAAACCAATACTATCACCTTAATAACTACTGTACCTGGTTTTGTGTTCGAATAAAAAGCTGTAAACTGTGCATCTTAGCCAAGCCAGTCCCGAGAATGCGAATGTATGATATTACTTGCTACATATCACGTGTATTGGCTCTGTCAGATTGTGATTTTGCATTGCACAACAAAAATAAAGAATCTTTAAAAAAAAAAAAAAAGTGAAAAGAGCTACAGAGGGAACATGTGGTTGTTTCACGTGGGAATTATAGGCAAGGTGTTACACATTTTCACAAACACCACTCTCCGCACACACGGGCACCACCCTTCATACACACTGTCCACCTATTCATGTCCAGATAATTGTGGTGATGGACTTACATTGATGCTTAACCCCTTAAGGACAGAGCTTCAGAAGCTTGTTTGACAACAGCAATTTTTGCATTTTTTGCTGTTTACGTTCAACTGCAATTTGCATTTTACTAATTTATTGCACCGACACATATTATACATCGTTTTTTAAAGGACAGAAAGGGCTTTAATTTGATGTAACCTATATATATATATATATATATATATATATATATATATATATATATATATATATATATATATATATATATATATATATATATATATATATATATAAATATATATATAAATGCTTATATACAGAATATATAATGTGTCTGGCATTTTAAGTTTTTTTTGGTAGTTACAGGTCACAAAGCACAAGGAGTAAAATAAACTTTTACTGTGGAGCGATTTTAGAATTTGGTATGTTTGTCTTGTAAGCTCAATAGCCATAAAAGAAAACAAAATTGCCACACAAAATATATTTATATAAAGTAGACATCACGGGCTATTTACCTAAGGTTGTTTTGACTCTTTCTACGTAGCCAATTCACCGCCAACCTCTGCTAAATATTGGAGTAAAATTGTTTATTATTGTGGATTATTTTTCCGCTAGCTTGTACTAAGTGTAGTGGTAATAAGCGTTTTTCTTTTTGACACACAGTCAAAGTTTGCACAGTATATTTTGCAAACCTTATGTGTGCTACGACTGTATAATACTTCATATGTATTTGCCAGGTACCTTTGCCAGGTA